TAATTTCTGTATTGAACTATTTTGTTTATCTATTATATTCTATATTGTTGTCTTTTGTTGTAAAAGTGTAGTGTGGATGACAAATGAACGTATACTGTGAATGACATATAAAAGTTTAGATCTGATACAATTTGTACACAGTTTACTGATGATAATTGAATTCAGGCACCGAGTGACATGTCTGACACTGCTGAAGATTATTACCACCTTCTTTTACAATTATTTAGTCAGTGTACATATTATTTTGACAAATCTATGTTAAAATTATTTTTATATTTTTCAGGTCCCACAATGATATGGAAGAGTATAAATGCGACAAAACCCTTTCCATATTCATATGAAATCTCTGTAAAAAACAATTGATGGTTCGATTCTGAATAAATCATGAGCACGTGTTAATGAATCGCTATCAAAAAGTGATAATACCAGGTGTTCGCGAAAGGTGAGAGTATCCTGCCCCAACGGTGTCACAAGAAATCCCTGGTGTTGAGATCCATTTTCATTGTGTGCAAATTGTGTTTATTTTCATGCAGAGTTACAAGTGATAAAATATTAGAGTGTCTTGTGAGGTACAGTGCTTTAGACAACAAGAGAGCTGTACTTTTGAAATAGTCAACCAGTGCACTAACAAGTTGCCTCTGAGCATTTAGCCAGTGCTTGTGATATTTTCTTCAGTTTTTCCCCGGCCTTCGCCCTTGCCCAAAACTACCTGATCCAGCATCAGCCATCCTGTATTACAGAAACTTGTCAAATGAAACAGCAGAGGCTGATTGTTGTCAGAGACCATAAAACAAGATTTCAATGAAAAAAGTTTATTTTAATGAGCATAGAGAAAAACATTACATACATCAGATGGAAATCTTTCATGAATCACCTCGACAATACAAGATGGAATAACTTTTCTCTGATTCTTCAACTATTTCTGCAAACCTCCAAAGTGAACCTCTTGTTTATGAGGTGTAGATAGATTCTGAAATGAAAAAGTGTCTTTTATAAGTCAAGCTATGCACAACATTACAAAAAAAAATCATACCATTTACATATATATTTTTGTCATTAAATCTAGGGGGATGCTTATATAAGAAGTAACTTGTATTGATGTGAATGCATATTTTTTATTACATGTTAATAATTCAATAAATACCAAAACAGTTTATAGTTCTATCATGTTGACATGATGTGTTTATTACTGTAGGTTTGAATACTTCTTGAAATATTGTGGGCATGTTTCAATATCACTGATGTAATTTAATAACCTTACAAGTTCCATATGCTTTCACAACTTGCTGGCAAATAAACATTTATGGTACTTGAATCTCTTATTTTACTTGTCAGATTTGTTTGTTGTGCATGATAGATCTTAAAATGCATAATAAAATAAATTGATGAAAGTAAATCATATTATCTGTTTTCTAAACTTTATTTCAAGTGTTAATATAAAAAAGGGTGGTGGGGTAGCCTTGTGGTGAAAGCGTTCGTTCGATCGTCACACTGAAGACCCAAGTTCGATTCCCCACATGGGCACAACATGTGAAGCCCTTTTCTGGTGTCCCCCAGTTGTGATATTGCTGGAATATTGCCAAAAGCGGGGTAAAACCCTACTCACTCACTCATATAAAAAAATGATTGCCTATTTCATTTGCATTTTAGGGGGTGGTTGTTACAGACGTTTTGCTCAAAAGGTCAGGTTGGGAGGTCAAAATTTCCAAACAAAGATTTACAATTTCAAATATTTTTAACTAATATTCAACAAGTTTTACTTATAGTTTCTTAGATAATTTATATGTATTGATTGTGACGGTAAATGAGCTTTTTACATATATCTGGTCCACTCAGTTAAACAACCCACTGTTTTTAATAATTAATTATATATTAGATATTTCTTCTTTTTTATAGTTTCTAAACATTTTTTTTTTAAATCTGGCCCCATAATAGATGATAAATAGTTTCCCTGCAAAGTTCCAATGCATTTTCTATGAATGGTTGTCAGAACAAACCAATAACCAATTATCTATTAAATAGAATAAGATACTGTAGGCCTTCTGCAGTAACTGGTTTCAAACACTAAACAAATCAATTGAGTGATCTATCTTTTCACTTTCAAATGGTGACGGTGTGAAGTGTGAAGTACGACATCCAATTACTTATCAATAAATATGGCAGGTATTTTGAACTCGGATGGGAAAAAATCAAAGAGAATCTTTTTTTTCCCAGTACGTTTCCACTCGGCAACCGACTTTAGAAACGTACTGGGACGTACCCCATTTTCGTGTTACTCTAAGCATATGGTCTCGTCATCAGCTGGTAGGCCTAATGTGTAATCTTGTTGAGACAACGTTTGGCGACAGATCGTATTTGTTTCTTGATATTGGCAAGTAGCATTGATCTGTAGCCTATGTAGGTGGTGGGAATAGTTACACCTAATACAGACAAACTCAGATTGACGACAATGCTGATACCGGCGATAGGGTCGTAACAGGGTGGGACAGGATGAATAGGCCTGCTGACGAAGCATGCGGGTCACCAGGCGTGACAAAAATCTCTTAGAATATTACGTTTCCGCTTCTGAAAACGTAATAATGTGCATATAGGTAATTTAGGTATACACACATCAAAGTGTTATTCTTACCACGTTGTCACTGGTAGGCCTAATTGTGTAGATGTCGAGTCGGGGTCGGGTGACAAATTAGGTGATGTGGGTCTTCTCTTGTTTCCACTTGATTTTCATCGTTTCCATACCGCGAAACTTGCTCGTTTTGGTTCAAAATATATATATGGTTTTGCGATTTCTTGAAGGGTCAAGGGAACTTCTTCGGAACAGGCAAGGTATCGGAAGCCGTGTTGTCTCACCATAAACTGGTACTTGATATCTTTTGCGTTGTGACAAGATAGGGACCCAGTTAAATTGGCACCAATTACGTCATAATCTAAGGGGGATAACTCAGGCCTGTTTAGCTCGGAAAACGAAGGCCTCATAACGGCATGACATTTTCACACTTATTGTGAGCTCGCTACATTGAATGTGAGAAAAATGAGTGTATATTTTCAAACACTGATACTAACTAATTCTAAAATTCCGTTTTGTTTAAAATAAGAAAGAAAATGATTTTTGCGTGTACACTTCCCCTTTAACAGTGATTCCTTTAAAGCTCACTTCGCTCCGAGTCTTGTCTTATATGGTAATTTTCGTGTATGTGTACTATATATATATATATATGAAGTAAACTACGGCTATAACGAACTCAAAGGGACTTCTAATTTTAGTTCGTTATAACCGTAATTCGTTATAAGCAGTTATATCCGCTAGTTCGTTATAAGCGTGTTCGTTATAACCGCAGTTTACTGTATATATATATATATATATATATATATATATATAGTAATAATTAAATAAGTGGAGTAAGATTGAACACAGTTTTAATGGGCTAGCGCTTTCAACTCGTAACGAGTCTCATCAGGCCATAACTGAATAACGGACATGAAGTAGTAACATATAGTTACGTGACGTCATAACATTTAGGAAACTATGACGTCACAATACCAAGGTGACAATGGACAAATAACTTACGCCTTTACATTTAACATAGGCGCGTATTTATGAATGAGATGTTGCTCTTTTTGAAACAATGTAGGTTCATGATCATAATTTAGCTTATATAGCGGGAAAACTAAAAAAGTTGCCGTTTCCACATGCTTCTAAATGTTCACTGAGTGGAATCATGCGGTTGTGTGGCTGCTTTATTTGTGAACGGTGAAGATTCATTCTTCTTTTTAATTTAAGTTCTGTCTTTCCGATATACTTTTCATTGCATCCACTGCAAACAATCAAGTGAATAACATTTCTAGTATCACAAGTCATATTTTGTTTTACAGTAAATTTAGTGTCCTTGGTAATTTGGACTGAACAGCCTTCAATTATATTGCTGCAAGTTAGGCAACGATTGTCACCGCACTTAGAAACCTGTGGAGTGATGACAACAGAATCAAATTTAGAACTTGTCAAAATCTTTCTAAGATTTTTGGGTTGTCTTTGGCTGTTGATAATTTTGAATTTGCTTAATATCTTCTCCATTTTAATACTTTGATTCAAAATAGGCAGGTATCGTTGAACCATGGATAATGTTTTTTCATGATTAGGGCTGCAGGTAGATACTAGAGTTAAATATTTCCCCATATTGTTTTCTTCAGACTTTTCTCTCAGTTTTAGTTGCTTAATACTTAGCGCCTTCTGTATGCTATCTTCAATTAGCTTTGCGGGATAACTTTGATGCAGTAGGAAACTCTTAAGTTCAGCAAGGCGAGTAGTTTTAACATCATTCCCGGAATATATATATATATCTGATTGAACAATTGAGTCCCCAATTGTTTGGTATTATGTTAAACAATAAGGACACTTAGGGTGGGTGGTTGTTGTTCGTGGATGGTTGTTCCATGAAGTACATATCTCATGTTTCAAAGATGGTTTGAAAAGGTAAATGTGTTGGTTAAAATTAGAAAGGTGTTTATACGAAAACACACGTTTGGGAGTCCTGGTAAGGATATAGGTCCTCAGCAACATATGCATGTCGTAAGAGACCACTAGACGGATCGGGTGGCCATGCTCGGAGACTTGGATGATTGAATGTCATCTATCCCAGTTGCGTTGATCGACGCTCCTGATGTCGGTTACTGGATTGAGGACTTCCGGTTTAAAAACATCACTATCTGTTTGGGAAACCACATGGCTATATTGGTACCTGTGACCTGGTCAAGATTAAATGGCGACTAATGTCCGATGCTTGAGTTCCGACGACCGCAAAATGTCTGAAGAAACACGGAAGACGGTTGGTTTGGTGGTTAACGCAACACTCAGCAATATTCAACTATTTAACGGCGGCCTGTGCGTAATTGGGTTTGGGATACGAGGACGCGTCACCGAGTCTGACCACCTGATCCATGACGACAAGAAACTGATATTGGGGAACTTGACGTCTTCCATTCCCCTGCAGAAACATATCAACGTCAAATTTATCAATATAAATCCTTTATTTCCACAAGCATATAACATGTCTCTTGTATGAAAATAATTTGACCATAAGTTTTGTTTAAATCAAACTATATACACATTTTCATATACAATAATCAATCAGCACATTCACACTGTTGTGTAGTTCACTTAGGTACACTGCCAATTTCTGATGTTCCATACATGTCCTTGTACATAGACTTACGACAGCCCTTGAATGATGCTTAAAGCGATGTAAAACTTGCTCTATGTATTATATGAGTGAATATATAAGAAACACCAATAATATTCCAAAAGTAACTGCAAACGTGTTTATCCTTGGTAGCATTAAATTTATTACAGATACCAATATAGAATGTCTAAAATTAGTTGACGCAAATTACATCATTGTTTCTGTAGCCTCGCCATTGCAATTTTCCTTCTCGAACGTTGATGGGCCCCAATGCTTGTTTGGTTCCAGGGCCTTCATGACTTTCTAAAAACAAATAGATAAAAAAACATAGAAAATAAACAAAATGCAAACTACTACAGATAACAATAGTTACTTAAGCATCTTTTTCTTGCAGCTGATCTGTACCTCGTTCTTGGTAAGTGAATAGGGGCGGTGGGATAGCCTAGTGGTTTGAGCGTTCGCTCGTCACGCCGAAGACCCGGGTTCGATTCCCCACATTGGTACAGTGTATGAAACCCATTTGTGTCCCCTGCCGTGATATTGCTTTAATATTTCTAAATGCGGAGTAAAACCACACTCACTAACTCACTCACTAGTAAGTGGACCTGTATTGCTTCTTTCTCGTCCATTTTATCAGACATTATCGTAAGGGTTTACGTAATTACGCTTTGCTTCAATATTTCTACCAGCTGAAGTTCATATATACTGAACAGATAAAGAAACGTATTTTTTTATTCTTAGGACATAATTGTAATTTTTCTTCATGCATATGTTTTTTTACTTTAAAAAAAGCCAATTTATGACATTCAACTGATAATACCGGTTGCGTTCGGTGTAACAGTTGTGAACCTTGGGAACTGTGAGGTGCCCGTGGGAGCAAGTTACAAGTGATGCACAGGAAAATTGAAATGCACGTGAAACATGTGCCTGGGTTCTGTATACGAACCACCTGACACCTACTGAAAATTCAGTTGCTTTGTGAAGACAGCGACCATGCCACGACTATCCTCCCAACAACGTGAACAAGCCATCGGACGATTAAATGCCGGACAACGTACCCAAGTCATTGCCAATGCTTTTAACTGCAGTGTACGAACCATTGAAAGACTTCGAATACGTTACAAGACCACCAACAGCACTAATGACCGTCCACGCAGTGGTCGTCGCCGAGTCACAACACCAAGACAAGATCGCTTCATCCTGCGGCAACATCTGCAGGACATTCACCACAGCGGCACAGACAGCTCGTCAGACCATTGGCAACCATCAGGGACCCATCAGTGCTGACACTGTTCGAAATCGGCTGGCGAAGGAGAGGTGAACGTTTTACAGAACAGTGTGTGGTTGAAAGAGACCCGTGGGGAGGACCAAGCATTATGGTATGGGGTGCAATCGGCATCAATCAGAAACTTGGACCTGTTGTCTTCCAGAATATTGGCCCAGGCAGAGGCCATGGAGTCACAGCCGCCCGTTACATCGACCCCACGTTGTACCTCATTTTGCAAGACTCCGAAACCACACCATCCAGTATGACAACGCCCGTCCACACACTGCCATAGCCACCAGGACCTTCCTCCAACAGCATAACATCAGAGTAATGCCATGGCCTTTACTCAGCCCGGACTTAAACCCAATTGAACACTTGTGGGATGACATCCAAAGACGACTAAACCAGAACCAACCGCGTCCAAGAAATGCAGCAGAACTCAGTGCAGCTTTCCTCAGGGTCTGGGCGCAGATTCCAATGGCGTCTGTAAACCGTTTGTGCCACTCAATGTACAGAGATGCCGGGCCGTTATCAACGCACAAGGTGGACACACCAGGTACTGACTTTCAGCCTCCATCTGTGAGGATCACGTGATCAGACCCTCGATATGACATTGCAATAACATGACTGACACTCAAACAATACTTTGTGCCAAAGGTGGTTGTTTTCTGACAATTATTTTTTGCATTATTGACATTTGAATAAACATTTCACTGTTTTCTGTATTCTTGCGACGTTTCTTTATCTGTTCAGTATATATAATATATGTTGACCATAGTGGCAAGGATAAAGTTGGAATCATTTTCAGTAATGCTCAATGAGCATTATAATTTCTGCTTCTTGCTGATTGGTTAACTTACTTAGGTTAGGTCCATTGTTCTGTTTTCATTGTTTGCTCCATAGCAACACAATAATTCTACATGACGTTATACAACTTTACAACTTTGTGTGAAAGTCTCATCACGCAGTAAACTTTCGAAAGAGTGCATGCTCTGTAATAGGCATACTTTCGACTATGACAGCCACATTATTTTATATCAGAAAGAAATGAGTTTTTCTCTTCTCTCATTGACTCACTTGACGTTCAAAAATATGATGATTGTGAAATGCAAGACGAAACAGATATGTTATCAGTCTTATTTGGGGCTGAAACAAATTTTACTCACAATCTGGATCAACACACCTGGGAAACTATTATCCTACAATTCGCTTCGTATCTGTACACACTAAAGCATCTTTTGATATATATCTTTTAGTGAATATCTGTCTTCGTTTAGGTATCTGAATTTGATAAACTGTGTGTAGTTGTAAATATGTTATGCTTTTTATTATTGTGTTAACCGCGTGTAATTGAATATATTTCCATTGTAATCTTCGGAATGACATCTGGAGGAAATAAAGAATCTCTCTCTCTCTCTCTCTCTCTCTCTCTCTCTCTCTCTCTCTCTCTCTCTCATTGCTAATGAGGTCACGTTCGGTTTTATGTGACGTTGTTCCAACAATAGATTGTCTGGGGGGATATTGGTCAATGCTAACTTCTGGATATGTGATCGTGCGTCATTTATTTAGACACCTATCCGTGGGTAATATATGATTTGGAACCGGATGATGCAGCATGATACACGTGCTTCATATATGTCCTACACTCCGCATTTTGCCAAGTCTGTTAAGAACGGGTCATACCTCCAGAGAGGGTTATACATGGATCACTACTGCCATTACCTCTTTGAGTGTCTTCCCCTCTGTTCTGTACACTGTCCAGAAGAAGATGACCGGCAGGGGTACAAGTGAAGAAAAGGATATCGTCCACCCGAGTCCCGTGGCCCAGGCAGGGAAGACGTAGTCCCCGTACTTAGGTGGTCGGTAGGAGTAGAGGGAGTAGCTGAAGATCACCTGAAGACGCAACGCTTGATGATCAAATAATGATATTGAAATATATTCAAGCACCTTTAATGCGACCTAATCTTCAGCAACCCATACTTGTAAGGGGCGACTATGCTGGATGTACATCTAAGTGGCGACTGACAGGATCGGGTGGTCAGGCTCACTCACTTGGTTGATGCGTGTCATGGTATCCCAGTTGCGTGGTTCGATGGTCCGTCATTTGGTTGTCTGATCCAGATAACTTACAGACCGCCGTCATGAAGCTGTAATATTGCTTGATGCGGCGTTAAACAACAACTTTCATTCGGTACAATTTGTATGCGTAGTAATCAGTGTATTGATGGTGTCGGTCTATGGTAATTAGTTGTGCAGAGTGACCAACATGAACAGTTCGTTCATGGGTTTGATCCTTGGTCTGTCATCATCATCTCAGGGTTTGCAGTGCTAAACGTACAAGACCTGCATTTCACAATTATCTGATACGCTGAGAGATACTGAGATTCTGTTCAGAGCTGTTCAAGCTACCCTGACCTACCAGAAAAAGGATTGGGCAGATGTACTTGAGACTGATGATCATCGCCTTGGGAACTGTCTTCCCCCACATCATCTTGATGTCCTTCTCCAGTCTGTTTGTGCCTAGAATATTCCACCAAACAACTGACAATGTTCTGAGTTGCGTCCCTTAGTAACTGGATCGATGCCAGGGATCGACGCCGAGAATCTCCCCGTATGAAATATGTTACTTATGCTGCCATATATTAGTAAACTATTATATAAGTTTACACAACGATGGATGTATCATGAAAACAAAACATTTGCGGAAACCATTAAGGACATGTGAGATATATTCAGACTTTAATGTATTATTGTAACGAGAAACAAATTCGTGTTATTTCACCTAGACGTCGAGACAATGACGGAAAACTGGGTAAAATTGATCCCAGTCAAGCTATGCTTGTCATTAAAGGTTATGTTCGTAAATTACGTGTCATCGTACACGCTGTGCGGTGCGTTGTTCATAATGTACATCTCTGGTTCGTATTGACTCGTAGCCGGGATATTGCTGAGTGCGGAGTTAACAGCAAACAAAGAGAGAAACAAAAAATGACAATTCAAAGATTCATACCATAGCACCAGGTGACCACGAAGCATTCCAGCATAGCGAAGACCGCCATGGAAGGGAAGAAGGCATACCAGTCGACGAGGGTAAGCATGTATATACCACCCTGTAACATAAGTTCCGTATTTTGGCAAAATATAAGAACAGAATGTGGCCTTATCAATAGCAAACTACTATTGTATAGCAATTATTGAGTGTGTTTACATCCATTTAAAGCTCGGGTAGTAAACCCTTTTCCAGGAAACGAATGATCCGTTAATTATGTCCATCTATATCTTAATGAATGTTCTGAAGCTTCCAATAGAAATAATGAGGTGAAATTGGGTTTGACGTCGCGTCCTTCATTATTGCACTTTTAAAGCTACGTGCATGCACGTGTGTGTGTGTGGCTGTTTGCACTAGTCCGGACTGAATCCGATTTATAGTGCTAGCCCACTGAGATACCATGCCACAGTTTAACATGAATACCCCACTCAGACAGAGTATACTGACTCCGAGCCGACCAGTCCTTGTTTTAGTCCCTTAATGCCAGAAAGGGTAGCAACAAGTACTATCTTTTAACGTCTTTTGGTATGTCGCGGCCGGGGACCGAACCCCCGGACCTTCCGCTATCCAGGCGGAATCTACAAGACCATGGAGTCGGTCCCGGATTAAGGATGTCCGGATAAAAAGATGACACAATTTACAGAATAAACCCCTGCCAAATCATGCTGTCGTATAGTTATACAACATCTACTTGGCTCCTTGAGAGTTCATCTCGTTTATGTACTTTACCGTAGAGACACTTGTATCATGGCAACCTAGCATCTAATAAAATTGGATATTTACCCGAGACATGTATAGTAGACCCATGAACAAGGACGGGAGCAGCACCATGATGTACGGCAACCAGCGTTGCCGGGCTAGTCTCGGGAACTGATCTGTTAATGCTGTTATTGAGATCTCAAAGCATGGTATCTGTACAAAGATGAGAAGTGGTCAGTAGGAGAAAAGTGGATCATATTTGTTTAAACGACAACCTGGGTTTACTTGCTCAAAGGAGTTGTTGCCATTTGAATACGGTAAACCTATGTGAAATTATGACAGTTATATCAGCCGATAGAAAGCATTACAGAAAGTGATGCCAGCGCTAGGACTGTCGTAAGTCTATGTAAAAGTATGGGACCTATGACTGTCATAGCGCTAAGATCGCTTTGTGGAACGGGGCTCTGGCTTTTGGCAATGAACGTGTTCGAGTTATATATAATGGCGAATCGTTACCCAGCAAAAAATGGGTAGACCGTAAAATGAGAAGGTATTTTAACTAACATGATTGCCCTCCTCTCATGGATAGCTCCAGGAGATGGGAATACTATATATGTGTAGCTGCACAACGGTCCTAGAACTGGGATTATATAATGTCGCAAGATTTGGGCACATTTCATGCTGAAGTGACGTCATCACAACATTGTTACAATCATTATCATTACTATTCATGAATATAATGAATTGTGTCCACTCTCATTACTCCGTACTCTCGTTAATTAGTTAATAACAAACAATACCGAGTGTGAACCCAAGTTACCATCTCGGGGTATCTCGACTGATAGTATATCTTTGTGAAGGTATTGGTGGGTCGTTTGTAAAGTGGTATCCAACTGCGATACCATGCCATCCTCCACTCAGACACAGAATACTGACTCCGAGCCGACCAGTCCTTGTTTTATCCCCTTCCGAGCGTCTTTTGGCATGACGCATGAGATCGAACCACCAACCTTCGCTCTCAGAACACGGAGGCTGTCCTTGTAAAGGTATAACATGTTCTTACTCTAACACGATCAACAATTAGTTTCTTCTCCAAAGCCATAGCACAGTTGTCATACTACTTTCTTACTTACATCATCCCCACTATCTAACATAACTGTAGTGTATGATACAAAGCCTTTACCAGCGAGTCTATTCCGAGGAGGAGCAGCGTGATGAAGGTCAAGGCCGACCACAATTGAGGCACCGGAAGTGAAGCCACAGCTTCAGGATACACAATAAATCCAAGATTGAATCCTGGAAAAGTAACACAACATGTGACGCAGTCAATGTTTGCTAGATGCTTTAAATGAAGTTTACTTGAGAATAAGTAAACGATAATATTTTAATCTTCCCAATGTTGCTTCAAGCAAGAGAGACTAACATCTAGTCTCTGAAATTAGACTTGCATGGGTTGTATTTGATTTATATTTGTATCAGTGTCTGTAAGACAGACTACAAGCAAGACACTTATGTTACTTACAGTAAATGTGGGTGAAAAGTGCAAAAACAGCTCCCAAACTAATTTGTGAAGTTTAAGAAACAGTTGACGAGAAATTGAATCGACCTCTATTCATACCAATAATTTGGCCAACATGTTAGTATTTTTAGACTGCGTAGATATCACACGAGTTTTACTTAGGTCTATTGCAAAATGGCGTCGGCATTTGAGAGAAGTGAAGAGGATCTAAGCAACAACCACAATGTGTGAAACACACGTTGGCAAAACTGTTTATGCCAATATGAAGCCGCCTTAAATTGTTGGGGCATGCACTGAGGAGAGGTCGGTTATAATTATATGTTACATGGCAGTATAATTTGTTGTTGAACAATGATTGTAACTGTATTACATTGAATTTGTTGAGATTCAGTAGAAGTTCATTACAATGTATTGGACAATGATTGGTTGTGAGGAACGTAGTACTATTTAATGAAAGCTGTGATGAGAAGTCAAGCGTTATAAAAAATATGTGGAATATTATGTGATGGTCTAGTGACACAAGACTGGCCGAGCACTGTGTGGAAAGTGATGGACGCAAGTTAGACTATGTGAGTGGAGCGGGTGCGTGACTGTCCCATCTTACATTTCATCTCACATTTCATCTGACGTTACATCAAGGCCAACTTTTGTGTAAAGGTCACTTATCACCCCGGATTTCCAGCCTTGGCTTATCTCAGAAGCTTGAACACCGTGGCGGCGAGGTGATTATTATTTTTGTCATTCTCATTTCCACTGTTCTCACATTTAATACTGCCTTTGAATAGTGTACTACCACTCTATTGTGTACTGCAATTATAACTGCTGTGCTTGGGTTAACATGTTGTTTCAATTTGGGAATCGACACGTAACCTTATACCCCACTTCGGGTGACTAAACATTTGTTGTACCTTTCCAATTTAATGTGATGCTTACTATCCACAAGACTGTAAGACAAGACGGCAAACTTCAGCTTTCCGATAGTCAACGTTTCCTTTATTTCAAGTGATATTCTAGGAGCTCCATCCATCGCGACGCGTCACTTTTATTTGAACATCCAAAGCCTTTTAAAAAGTAAAGCGTTTGGTTTCAAAAACCAGGACTTTTTTATTTAATTCATGAAAAACTGACAAAAGTAACTGATACGGACATAAAATATTCACTACAACATTGATGAAGTCTTACTGGTGATCAAGGATCAGTTGAACCAGCTTACAAAACGCATTTGGGACAAGTTGGGGGTGCACAGAATTTGGGCAAACATATTTGGTTTGTTACAGGTAGAGGGTGTAAGTATGTTGTGCACGTGCAGGTCATGACGAAGCATTTGACTGCACTGCTATAGACACACGTGTTGCTCATAAGACTATTCAGAGGTCGGTGCGACAAAACGTTTGATACAAGTTATTTACAAACAAATAAACATGTCAAAGCTGGGTGAGCATGGTTAAGTCATATATTCTCAGGGTCGAGAATTGGCCTATTATCCTATAAATTACATTGCGAAAGAATGTGGAAAAAAATGTGAGAATGAGAATATCAGAATGTGAAGACTAATGCTGAGATTGCCCAGTTATCTCAACATATATCTAGACAGCAACATTACGTTTACAGTATGCTAAAACCCCATAAACAATCACTTTTGATTAATTGAGGAGTATATCATTGAGTCAAGTATCTCTACGTTAATGTATCACCTTGACAATCATTTGATGAATGACATGACACTATTCGGTATTGCTCTCTGGGTAAATAAGTGTTCAAGTCTTACAGCAAATGAATTCCCTTCATTGTCACCATACTTCTCAATTGTTGTTATCTATGCAGGAATGCTGTCACCGTTTTCACAGTCATGGGTACCTCACATCAGCAGGTACTGTAATGTGCCATTGAACTCTCCACTAGAATTCGTTGCTAGCCGAGAAAGGACACTCACGTGTCCTTCGTCACGGACCACCCGCTACCCCTTTCTTCACAATGGTACGCGCCAGTGAGCGGACTTCATACATAGTCATACGGGGTTAATAGTCAAACACAATTCAGCGTATCCTGGCTTACCAGTAATTTAGCTTCCATAAACCATTTACGTCACTCAGCTGTCACTCGGCACATGTTTGAGACTGATTATCATACATGATTGGCAGTACCATTCCCGTTTATCTTCTACGAGTTGTCAGTACCATTGCCGTTTATGATCCATGATTGGCAGTACCATTCCCGTTTATCATCCACGGTTGGCAGTACCATTCCCGTTTATCTTCCGTGAGTTGGCAGTACCAATCCAAATTCTCTTTCAATCAATTCAAAGTCCTAAGCATATTTTTTTTTATTTAGTAAGAGGTTTTGTATATAATTCATGTTTTATAGGTATAAGACCATAATGATACAAGGTGTTGAAATATTGCTCGACATAAAGACAAAGATGACAAATGGAACGTTAAGGTCATTCCTCTTGTCATGCAGTCTTGTGGACTTTTGTCACTCTGAATCTTTATGCACAGATCAAAATCTGAAACAGATGAGGCGGTTCACAGGAGGAAGATGTCTCTGTGACCTGTTAACTAATGTTACGCATATATACCCGATGACTGGAACGCTTCCACGGTCACTCCACGCAAGTAGGCGACATGGCCCATGATGGCGAAAAATGCAAACCCGACAAAGACAGCGGTAGCGACGTCGGCAGCCACAATAATTAAAACATCCCTACAAAGAAACAAAGGATATTCTTACAGACTTGCAGTGGCAAATGTAAACAAGATGCCAGAAGATTATTTCTATTATTCTTGGATAAAGTGTTCCAAAATTACGTTACATACCTTATACCTATGCTACAACGTATTTTATCATTCCCAAAACGGGCGCTTTAATCACAATACTATTATACTTCAGAATACATATCCTTACTTCACAATATACTTTGAAGTAAAAAATACACATTTGAAAACAGCAAGTTAAGATACGCCTCTTGGTATCATTTGAATTATGATGACTGCGAAGTCGAATGTTATCAAACAATTAATCGAATATATTCTGTGACATGCAAATAGGGAAGCTGAAAGCTAAGGCCCATTTTCGGTCGCATCCAACATGGATGTCTTCGTTTTTCAATATCTTTGTTGAAATACACTACATTTGGTGCGTGTCATTGTTTTGATCTACATATCTGCCTTTAATAAGCGCACAGCCGCGCTGAGCCCTGAAAACCTGCCCGTTGTGTAACCATTGTGTGAAGGGAATCTATTTTCAATGTAATGTTAGTAAACGGCTTTAGGACTTTTCATGTTTTAAATTTTGGCATCAACGCGCAGAACAGATAATATATATGACATACTTTTGTAAAAAACGTTTCAGGTGTTGCACCTTAATTAGCGTCAAACCTATATCTACATGTAATGCTAGATACTATAATAACAACTCACTTGCCACACAATGGCTTCAGTGTGTCCTGTTTATCTCACATACCAAAGTCAGACCGGATGATTAAGCGTGTTTGAAAAGTACACGTATTATGCAAAGCTGTTTCGAAAGGAGGCAAGAAGTCATGCTCCATGCGTTTGCCTCTCCCAAAACTGAGTATGAATAGGACTGCGTGACGTCACCTATCCCTATTCTATGTCGTCAGCGGGAGTGATAATGGCCCGTCGTCAAGCAAAATGAGGGCATTATCAAGTTACAGTGCCCCGCTCATTTCTGATAACATGCGGGCGGTTTAATGATAATTCTATCCATGTTGGCTATAATATCGTATGATCTTATATTTAAATAAGGTTTTCTCGAAATATTTTGAATTTCATTAACAGAAGACGTCTATATCTCGACGCTTAAGTTTATCAAATATCAAACCAAACAAATTCATCCAACGTGGAAGAGCACATCACAGTGACACTACCGTTATACGCCCGGATACTTGTGCCATCCTACAAACCGATCCCGGTAACTTATGGGACGTACCATCGTGTTATACATTAGTGAAAGAATTTACAAAAACGACATCCTTTCCTTGACTATTGTAATTTGCAACAACAACTGTACTGGTCCATGCCATGGCCATCATCTGAATGAGAATCACAAGTCAATTTGTTTTAAAATCTGAAAGTCATGATAAAGAGTGTTTGGTATTTAAACAAGATCATCTGGGTTTTTTTCTGAAAGTATGGAGGCGGCGGTACCTACACCATGGTGCATGTTCTGTGTGCGCAATGCATGATTAGGCTGTGTTGAAATAGGCCTGAACTTTCCCTCAGCTTTGTACATTAATATTTGAACTTGCAACTGGTCAAGACTATCAAAATGCATGTAGATAATTTTAAGCATTTTGGTGAAATAAATCATATGTTATAAAGTACAAGAAGGTCTTGCTGTTAACAAGCTGATTAAAGATGTTCTCACACAACGAAATATGAAATTCATTACCAAAAATTGTTTCAATTGTACAATCGAGCATATTTCCATTTGCAGCTTTCATCAAGATACGAGCATGTCTTAAAGCTAATATTATACCTCAGTAACCAAGGTCGCTGGGCTGAAAAAAGTTGCTAACATTGAAAAGGAAAATTAATAACAATCACCATTGTGACATTCTGACTACAAATCTTCAAAATAAAAAACAACAACAGAGAGCTTAGCCCCGTTCGAACGCCGTACATTCAAGAAGAACATGATTGGTTAGTGTTTGCCTCTGATCCGTGACGTCACAATCATGTCAGCCAATAAAATCCTGAGGTTCACAGGTTCAAGCTAAAGAGTGTTCCTCTCGCCCAACTTGTTGAAACCTTTTGGACTCGGGGCCATCTGGGGAAAGCACACACATGTCTACGAAAGTTCAAGGTAATACAAAAGAGCCTATGAAATGAAAAATGCGTACAGCATTTCCGATCCATATACAGTGAAACAATGAAATATTTATATTTCAATTTTACAACCATAGAATCAGAGAGACAAGAGTCTAATTTAACATTAAACATACATTATTTGCATTGGGACTAATTTTCTCACAATATCGTATGAAAGTCAAATAGTGAATATTCCATAATACAGGTAATTACACAATCATCACCTTCAGTGTTTCCGACACGTTCATGAACAGTAATTCTTTAAATTTAAACAGTCAAGGGCTGCACACATTAATGTGATGATTGTCAAAATGTAGAACAATATAAACGAACAATATGATTAATTTACTTTTATTTAACGGCTATGAAAAAATATTCAGGGGTTTCTTGGGTATGAAATCGTGATCAAGGGCACGTTGTGTTATTCAGAACATCTGTCTATAAAGAACGACTGTCTGTCAATAGTGGTGTTAATCCATACTAATCGAGAATTAAATCCAATTCCATTAAGAAGGATTTGTACCATAAATTAAAGTTCAATATATATACACACAAAAGCTACTGTGCTTCATATAAAATTCAATAAAAATAAATTTATTTTTAAATTGAATATTACGTTGTTAAAACATTCTCCGTGATTTTAAGGTTGTTTGCCCGTAAATGCACGGCGACCAACTTGGATGTTTGCGTGTTTGTACCCACACACTAGGTGTTTAAGTGTGAACAACACACAATGATTGTGGGGGCACGGGTGGCCCAGTCGTCTAAGGCGCCGCGATTCGCTGTGCAGAGTTGCGTCCCTTGGGCAAGCCAGAAACCTATGATTGTGGGTTCGAATCCCGGTTCGCCCTGATTATGTTTCTAGGTTTGTCAGCACCATACCCGTGCTCGTGGGTTTCACCGAAGTGGTAAACGTCTGAGACCTGCATCACTTCGGGCTTTCCTCCCACATTAAGCTGACACGCCGTGATATAACTGGAATACTGTTAAAAGCGGCGTTAAACCCAACTCACTCACTCACTCACAATGATTGTCTCATTATCTCATTGGAGGCGTTATCTACAGCAGGGAACCACTCATTACTAGCCAGGGGCCGGCCGTCCACGTGTGGCGTGACGTCAACAAGACAAACATATTCGGTTGGTGCATCTTCGGAATCGATACTACACTGCCACATTAACATCTCGGACAATTCGTGGGTTGAGACCAATCAATGGCAGAACCGTTCACCGATACGCCCAGTTTTGCTTCCACTTCACCGTCAGGCACGCCAAGCTTGGAGTAGACAGCATTTGAGGTTCAGAAGCCCAGACTGGGATAGTTAACTATTCACAGATGAGTCGCGGTTTCTTGTGGACAGCTCAGCAAGGAGACCGTTTTAGCGACGTCGTCAGTTTTGGGGTGGAAGTGTAATGATATGGGGTGGCACCACAACTCATTAGGGTAACACAACTCATCATTGTTTATAGCAAATTTAATTGCGTACGCCGTCGAGACGGCATTGTTCGACATCTCGTTCTATTCTTTGTGCACATACAGAAACGTAACGTCACATTGCAACAGGCAAATGCCCGCCCACATGTTGCACGTGTTCTGTCATACTTTTTGAGGCAGCATATCATTGATGTACTGCCATGGCCGACTGTTTCTCCGGACCTTCCTCCCACAGACCATATCTGGGATGCAATAAAATGACGCCTACGACAGGATGAAAACCTGCCGATAACGTTACGTCAGTTTGGCCAATCTTTGGTTGACTTTTGGAACAACATCCTCCAGGCTGTCTCCAACCATTTTGTGCCTTCTCTTCAATACGCCACCGCTGTCTCGCCTGTATCAACGCAAATGGTGGCCACACCCGATATTGACATTGTTAACTGAGTTGTTACACCACTCCTCTTTCAGGGCGTGTCACTGGCTCCTGTTGCCAGGTATGGGGTTTGTCAACGGATGTGTTATGATAAAACATTGATCAGACGAATGTCCAAATATTATGTTGGTATTTTCAATAACATAACAATTACACTACTTTGTATGAAGCACAGTTATTTTTTTCCTTCAGTATACACTTACAGTATGCCCTGAATGAATTTTCATAGCGCATGGTTCAATATGTTTGTATGGAATATCAACAGCTTAGGTTATACGGGATACGTGGGGTATTATGAACGAAGTATCTACCTGAAGCAATTGTTGTTGAATTTGTTGTGCGAGGCCATTGTGATGAGACAACCCCAGGCGATACCCAGCGAGTAGAGGGCATAGTTGCATGCCTCGATCCAGATCTAAAATGGAACGGTTTGCTGTACATTGGAGAAACAACCAGGACCAGGTGACACCGCGGTGGTAAATTATGTTTAATTTGTCACTCTGAATTTTTCTTTGTTATCCCCACATCATGTATTCTAAAGAAATTGCCATGGTTTTACATTATAACTCTTACAGCCACACGTGGCATGAGGTGCCGGGTTTTGTACCCTGCCTCACTTAATGGCGTACATGCCATATGTTCACATACTGACTAACTTAGTTATTTCTTAGTTGTATTAATAATAGCCTGATCGCTGTGTGTTTTCCTTTAACCCAACATGTATTAATATATGGAAATGCTTTCAGTTCTCTAGTTAAAGCTGCGTACACTGAAAGAAAGAGTTAGTTAGGTTTACTAACGTAGTGAAGTTCACCGTCACTCAGACACTAACATGTTAGACTTTTTTACTAATTAGACTAGTAGATGACCTATCATAGATTGGTACATTTTTAATGACTTATACCTCGTTCACGTGCACAGCAGTTACTCAAGGAAGTAATTTTCCATATGAAAATATACCTGGTATATAAAAAAATTTATGCGTTCACATGACAATTTCCTAAGGTGAGTAATTAAGGTATGTGAATAGAGTAAGACACACATATTCATCCGTTTGTTCACAACTTTCAACATGAAAGGGTTGTTTTCCAATCAAAGTCGAATGAAAAGAAAGTTATATAACAGGAATCTTTGTCTGCGAGGGAAGGAACTGATTACAGTAAGACTATTTGTGTTCCTCAATGAGATGCTGCTATATGCCTTATAGTATTTCTCTCATACAGGAAGTTGACAATGAAGAATCTGGTTACTACTTAATCTGTTGACGCTGCCAACCATTCATATTTTCAAGATCAAGGTCTATCTCGCTTTCCAACTAAAGGTCAGCGATGACGCAAAACATATTGTTGAGGTTAGGGGCACTCGATAACCTAGATTCACCAGTAACGTTATTGTCTGTTACTGGCGTTCATATCGAGGATGTACACACCTTCTCACCACACAACACATATGCCAGGATATATTCCACGGTAACATACACTGCATCGGCCAATATTCCAAAGCTTCCTACAAAGCGTGTTAGCCCTTTCGGTAACACTTGACTGATTGTTAGTCATCAATGCATAACATTGATATCACTCTTTTAATTTTTACGCCCATTGGAATCTGTTTCGGCGGATAAGCAAGACCACTTATTCTTTCATTTCCAGTGTTAAGGATGGGAAGTGTGTCTGTATATATAATGGGAGGGAGTGATCGATGCCCTGATTTGTGAACGCTAGCTCTGTGAAATGTTACGTTGAAAAGATGGATGTGGTTTGCGTTTAAGAAAAACACACTGACAGACACGGGAGAATCATAGATTTGAGTTGTCAAATTTGCAGTTGCAATTCTCCTTGGTTCGAGTTCCAGATTCGATCCGATTTACTATACTTGGTATGAGAGCACGTTGGTATATCCTCCTTTAGTAATCCAACAGCCATATAACTAAACTTGCACACTCACTTACCATTTGTGTAACAGGAAGGTACTACATTATGTACTGTTACAGTGATCATTGTGTTACATTATATGCTGCTACACTCTTCATTCTTTTACATTCTATGCTGCTACACTCTTCATTGTTTTACGTAATATGCTGCTGGAATTATCATTGTGTTACATTATATGCTGCTACAATTATCATTGTTTTACATTATATCCTCCTACAATTATCATTGTGTTACATTATATGCTGCTACAATTATCATTGTTTTACATTATATCCTCCTACAATTATCATTGTTTTACTTTATATCCTCCTACAATTATCATTGTGTTACATTATATGCTGCTACACTCTTCATTCTTTTACATTCTATGCTGCTACACTCTTCATTGTTTTACGTAATATGCTGCTGGAATTATCATTGTGTTACATTATATGCTGCTACAATTGTCATTGTGTTACATTATATGCTGCTACAATTATCATTGTTTTACATTATATCCTCCTACAATTATCATTGTGTTACATTATATGCTGCTACAATTATCATTGTTTTACATTATATCCTCCTACAATTATCATTGTGTTACATTATATGCTGCTACAATTATCATTGTTTTACATTATATCCTCCTACAATTATCATTGTGTTACATTATATGCTGCTACAATTATCATTGTTTTACATTATATGCTGCTACAATTGTCATTGTTTTACATAATATGCTCTTATACTTTAATTATATTATGTTTTACATTGTATACTGTTCCATTTTTCAATGTTTTACATTATATCCTGTTACATTCTTCATTGTTTTACATTATATGCTGCTACAATTATCATTGTTTTACATAATATGCTCTTACACTTTTAATTATATTACGTTTTACATTATATGATGTTACACTCGTCAATTTTTTACATTATATGATGTTACACTCGTCAACGTTTTTCATTATATGCTCTTACATTCTTCAATGTTTTACTTTATATGATGTTACACTCGTCAAAGTTTTACATTATATGATGTTACATTCTTCGTCTCACATTATATGCTGTTACATTTTTCAATGTTTTACATTATATGCTCTTAAATTCTTCAATGTTTTACATTACATGATGTTACAATTATCATTGTTTTTACATTATATGCTGCTCTAAATATCATTGTTTTACATTTTATGCTGCTACAATTATCATTGTTTTACATCATATGCTCTTACACTTTTAATTATAGTATGTTTTACATTATATGCTGTTACATTCTTCAATATTTTACATTATATGCTGTTACACTCTTCAATGTTTTACATTTTACGTTGTCACGATAATCATTGATTTATTGAAAGAAGTTTCGGAATATCTGGATAACGTAGTGTCCTAGCATGAATAGTCATCCCTCCATATACCTCGGTCCTGTATACAAATTCGGCCTGTGATAGTTAAAACTGACGTATAAACAATATCATCATTATCTCTCACGAATGAACGAAACGAAAAGAATAAGCCAACTTACCACGCCGCACTACTACTGTCATGAAGTCCGTAACCTCAAAGCAGCACCTACTTTCTTAGTATATGTGACGTATTCACCTTTGGATCCAACAACTTTTCGAACTTTGGATACACGAAGTAGTAAATCCCGTCAGCCGATCCCGGAAGTAGACATCCTTGGATGAGGAACACTGTGAGGAGTATGTAGGGGATGCCCACGGTGAGGTACACCACCTGTTACCATGGAAATTCAAGGTGTGAGTGTATGGAACATGACTCTTCTTGAAGCTGATTGTGTGTTCATTTTGTTTGTTACATCTTGGTACCATGGCGGGGTTATTTAGACCCAGATATAACACATGGTTCACATATCATAGTTATGTAAACTGTACTACAATACAATGTTACACTTATGTTTGACAATGGTGGCTGATCAATATTATATGGTGAGTTAAATCTTGTCATGATGCAATATTACAACCATATATCGACATTTAGGTTCATACCATATGGCATATTCATGTCATGCGTCAAAATTAGAAATGTCTTCCGGATATCTCCTATAAAATATTTTGAAAGCTTTACTGGGGGCTTGAATGTTGTAACCTTCATCAAACAACTTCTGTGCCTAATAGGGGCGGTCGGGTAGCCTAGTGGTTAAAGCGTTCGCTCGTCACGCCGAAGACCCGGGTTCGATTCCCGACATGGGTACAATGTGTGAAGCCCATTTCTGGTGTCCCCCGCCGTGATATTGCTGGAATATTGCTAAAAGCGGCGTAAAACCATACTCACTCACTCACTCACTCTGTGCCTAATAGGGGCGGTCGGGTAGCCTAGTGGTTAAAGCGTTCGATCGTCACGCCGAAGACCCGGGTTCGATTCCCGACATGGGTACAATGTGTGAAGCCCATTTCTGGTGTCCCCCGCCGTGATATTGCTGGAATATTGCTAAAAGTGGCGTAAAACCATACTCACTCACTCACTCACTGTGCCTAATATCGCTCTTTAAAATCTTCGCATACTCGAATGTACCTCAACATTTGTGGAATGTAACCACCAAGGGCTGGGTCTGCTGAAATATTTCTCGACATAAAGAGTAAGGTGACTATTGCAGCGGTGAAGTCATCTTTCCTGACATGTTTGGTTTTGTCAGAGTGTGTGAAGAGTGTTTTGTCACTCCGGATCTTTATGTACAGCTCTAAATATGAAACAGATGAGGCGGTCTCACTGGTTTCACTGGTGCCATACACCGACCCCGTAATGTATGGACGATAACTATGTATAAATGGAGAGAGAGAGAGATCCAGTAATCGGTCGCGTTCACTAGAAACGATACCGTTGCACTATACATGTGTTTGTTTGATTGTTTGGTGCTTCACTCAGAAATATTCCATCTATATGACGGAGTCGTTTCTATAAAATAATCAAATGTTTTAAAGGCAATCTAATAACTGAAATTATAAAGAATTATCCATTCCGTCGGGGAACGAAGATTAGATTTTAACAATGGCACTGAGCCTAACCACACGATCCATTAGGTCAATTCTTACGACCTGCATAATTTTGGGAGACGAATTCTCGTTTAGTATTAATGCTTTTGCATGTTATGCCAATACCTTTCCTGAAACTTTGATGCCTTGAAAGATGAACAAGAACGCCATCACATATGCGATGACCAGGCAGCCAAATAGAGGCCATCTAACTTCCCCCAGATGTTCCAAGCCGTCTGATATCTCTAAAACCCGGAATCTGTTGAAAAGAAACGGGACTTTGATAGTGATTTAAAAACACCTGTTTACAATATAGTCAAAATCCAACAATGGATTCTGCTTTAAGTTGACATTTCTGATGATTATAGAAATGTTTTAGTCTCTTAAATTTGCACAGCTCAGTAATTCTATTGTCGGACAGATGTCATTACCATGGGCATCTCCGCAAAAAGTCGAAACAGTGGTACACTTGGAACGAACTAGCAATCAGTAAGAACCAATAGTTATAATGCTCAGTGAGTGAGTGAGTGAGTTGGGTTTAAGGCCGCTTTTAACAGTATTCCAGTTATGTCGCGACGTGTCAGCTTAATGTGGGACGAAGGCCAGACGTGATGCAGGCCTCAGACGTTTACCACTTCGCTGAAACCCACGAGCACGGGTATGGTGCTAACAAACCTAGAAACATAATCGGGGCGAACCGGGATTGGAACCCACAATCATAGGTTTCACACCTCACAGCGAATCGCGGCGCCTTAGACGACTGGGCCACCCGTGACCCCTAATGCTCGGTGAGCTTTATTGGAAATAGGTTCAAGTATATTCTGTTCGTGTTGGTAATATTAAATCCACTTACCTCCAGAACTCCTCTGCAGCTGTCATCCCGGATACAGCACCAGACCAGTTACCTGTCCCATTAGCCAAAACAGTGTTGTTATACATAGCCGTTGCAGCATTGGAATCAGTCAGCGAGGCGTTAGTTACGTTAGCATCCGCCACATCGTCGACGTCGAAGTGCGATATGCATGATGGCGTGTTCCAGAAGTTGTCACAGTGCGCCCAGGGTATCTTGGCGCTGAACGAGTAGTAGAGGTAGTAGAAGAACCAGGCAAACAGAGCAGGATAATAGGTTGAGAAGTACATGGTGATCAAGACGTACCCAAGGCCGATACCTGTAAGAATGACAACAGTGATATGGAAAGGTTACACCTTACAAGGCATCTTACATACATTGGACAGGTTACATGCACGGTTCTGGAATCATATGCGTGGTTTTTCCCGGCGATTGTACTGTACACTTCCTCTACGCTACCTATAAATGTCGGACATTGGTTCCAGATTTACATATATATACTACCTTCAGCTCTTTAGATGGCGGAAATGGATTTCAGTGAGCTGTTCATATATACCACCTTCAGCTCTTCAGGTGGCCGACATGGGTTTCAGTCAACTGTTCATATATACCACCTTCAGCTCTTCAGGTGGCCGACATGGGTTTTAGTGAGCTGTTCATATATACCACCTTCAGCTCTTCAGGTGGCCGACATGGGTTTCAGTTAACTTTACATACATGTATATACAACCTTCAACTCTTTAGATTGCTGGAATTGGTTTCAGTGAACTGTTCATAGATACCACCTTCAGCTCTTTAGATAGCCGACATAGGTTTCAGTGAACTGTGCATATGTACTACCTTCAACTCTTTAGATGGCGGACATGTTTCCAAGTAAATTGTACACTACCTCTAAATGGCGGACATAGGTTCCACACTTTGACAGGTCCACTCTGAGAAAACTGACCAATCACCATCTCCAGAAACACACAGGGGATAGCGCCGATAACAGAGAACACCAGGAACAGTAGCAGGAATGCACCTTCAAATAGATAAGAGATATGTTGGTTGTGACGTATTGTATATGATGTTATGGTGATGATGTCATGATGATCCCGTTGTCTTTGTAACCCTCGCGTGGTTCACCTGCACGCATGCGCACGAAAAATTAATGCCAGAGTTGAAAATGCAGAATGTGTATATAAAAGGTGAATTCGTAATATCATGTATGAGACTTTTGATTGAAAAATTATTATCGTTGACTATATTTACAGAAATCAAATTTGAACTTAAGCAATCGAAATAACACGTAATCGTTTGGAACATGTCAACATCCACAAAGTTTGTTTCGAACTAAGATGAGTGAGTGAGTGAGTATGGTTTTACGCCGCTTTTAGCAATATTCCAGCAATATCACGGCGGGGGACCCCAGAAATGGGCTTAACACATTGTACCCATGTGGCGAATCGAACCCGGGTCTTCGGCGTGACGAGCCAACGATTTAGCTACAAGGTTGTACCACCGCCCCCGCCCCTATGAATAAACACAGTCTTTCCACACTACATTTACATTCAAGTGGTTTAAGTCGTAATTCGCAGTAAGGTGAGCTAAGGTGAGCTTGATATCGCTACTCGCAGAGTGGAAAACGTCTAAAACCTGCATCACTTCAGGATTTCCTTCCAAGTTGAGCTACAGTGATCTAGAGGTAGCGCGTGCGCCCGGAGAGCGGAAAGTTGGGGGGTTCGATCCCCGGCCGCGTCATACAAAAAGACGTAAAAGATGGTCCTTGTTGTTACCCTGCCTTGCGTTCGGCATTTAGTTGCTAAAACAAGGACTGGTCGGCTCGGAGTCAGTGTGTCTGAGTGGGGTATTACTCTTATCTGCGGCATAGTATATCAGTGGACTTGCGCTATAAAATCGGCATTAGTCCGGACTAGTACAAGCAGCCACACACACATTTGCATGCACGTCGCAATATAAGTGCAATAATCTTGGACGCGACGTTAAACCCCATTTCACCTCACATCCAAGTTGAGCTGACACGCCATGATAAAACTGAAATACGGATAAGAGCGCCGTTAAACCAACACTCTCTCTGTTTGTACATACCTCCGCCATTTCTCATACACAGGTAGGGGAACTTCCACATGCCTCCAACTCCCACAGAGTACCCGAGAATTGTGACGATGTAATCCACGTGAGAGCCCCATGTCTCGTGTCCCATCCCTGTTAAACATGCAATATAATACTTATATATCAGCCAATAAGCAACAGTGAGTCAATCCAATATCTCAGTGAGATCAATTCAATATCTCAGTGAGTCAATCCAATATCTCAGTGAGATCAATCCAATATCTCAGTGAGTCAATCCAGTATCTCAGTAAGATCAATCCAGTATCTCAGTGAGTCAATCCAATATCTCAGTGAGATCAATCCAATATCTCAGTAAGATCAATCCAGTATCTCAGTAAGATCAAAGAAAGAAGAAAGAAGAAGAAAAAGAAAGTCAATGAAGTCGTCATTAATACCACATGATAGGAACGAAAATGGGATTCTAACCCACGATCGACGGATCCCGCGAACTAAAGAACGCAGGTATAGGTACTTTGTTATCGCTGGGCCACCAGTGTTTCAGAATATGAAATTTTGTTATTTTAGTTTATAGGAATCATGTTCTGATAAAATCAGTTTTCTTAACAAAACATATTCTCGTTTCAACCTGTCTCCCTCAAAACGCCCCCATGTGTAAAGGATGCTTGTCAACTATAAACCCGCAACTTTCCTCTCCTATTTACCTCGTCAAACGATGTGTTCATTAGAGAGTAGCCAATGAGTTTGGTAGAAGTATTATAACCTGTCCCATGTGAATGGATGGTGGAAGCCCCACACCCCTGAAGCTTTGTAATCGAATTCATGAACACATAATGTGAAATGCTAGATTGTGGACGCGATGTCGGCGCCCGACTTCAGATAACTGCGGGTTTGGCGGTACACGGCCACGTGATCCTCAAAGAACGCAGTATTTCTGACAAGGTGAGCCACTATATACAATAAAGATTAACGCGGCGTTAAACCCACTACTTCAGGCATGAATGGGTCTTAAATAACATTTGACAACCACTCATTAATAAAACCGGAACATAAGAAAACCTTAAGAGACTCAACGTCATGTTTGTTTGACTGTTATTTTAAAAAATCTTTCAAGAGGTTGGCTCACGGTTAACCTAGTATTAAATGTTTTAAGAAAAATTATCCGCGATATTCAAAGTCTTGATATTTTTCAAACAAACATTTTTAAGGAGGACATTTAAAACATAACAGATATATACTTCTTAAGTTGTCGTGTTGGGTACAATTACGTTTGGTGTATACATGATGCAGGAAACAATATTGCAAGGAACAAGACTGAACAGGACCGAGGGTAACACCATCGTCATTTATATCTCAAACATACGGAAAATTTGTTCGGACATTTAAACAGAAACACATCCATAAACACACATATATACAGTCACATGCCAAGGTACTTATCGATTATACATATGAATTTTTTAAGGTTGATTTCGTTTACATTTCTGGTACTCAACATTTCTTTGTTAATTATTATAAATTATATTCGTGCTAGACGATAAGGTTTTACTTTTACGATTTCATTTATAACTTCATGTTTCTTTATGCTTCTAAAGTATGTAAATCTGCATGTGCGTTGTAAAGTAAATATACTATATATTAAGAAGCTGTAAGACATTATGTTAACTTTGAAGTCTGCCGCTCACAAGTTCTCACGTTGTACGAATTAAGGGCTCCTGACGCGTAAAAGCGTTGTACGAATTAAGGGCTCCTCAAATATACAACCATATTGTAACCATAAACGTCCATATTACCATCACGAACAGAACAAACGTGAACTTATTTCCGGTAAAGCTCACTGAGCATTAGGGGGCACGGGTGGCCCAGTCGTCTAAGGCGCCGCGATTCGCTGTGCAGAGTTGCGTCCCTTGGGTACACCAGAAACCTATGATTGTGGATTCGAATCCCGGTTCGCCCCGCTTATCTTTCTAGGTTTGCCAGCACCATACCCGTGCTCGTGGGTTTCACCGAAGTGGTAAACGTCTGATACCTGCAATTCCTTGGTGCACAATGCCATTACTGTGCACACAGTGACGCGTGCACTAACTTGTGCAGACACCACTGTATTGTTAACGTCATCCAGACGGCATTGTTGACGTCATTCACATCTTAATGTGACGTAAGGTCGGAATGAATCTAGCTGAAGATTATTTCATTCGAAAATTGTAGTTTTCTATCATTGCGGTCGTGATCAGTGCATTTTTCTAAAGGGGAGCTCAAAAGAATTAAATTAAGAAATAATTGGTTATACGAAATTATTACACTCGCATGTGTGTCTCGCTCTAGCACGGCAAATATAATAACCCTGACACTCGTTTCGTAAAATCTGTATAACTCTCATACTCACATAATAATCTCTACTCACATATAATCTATTATTTCTTGTCCTTTTCCTTTGAATATTGTAGGAACTACATTTGTGGGTTTCATTAAAGGTTGAATACAAACCCGACGATCGTGTTTTTATCTGTACAGTAAAACCCCGTTAATCCGGACAAAACACGTCTTCCGGATGTTTCTGTTTGGGCATACTGTGGCCGAAATACTGTCGATGTGGCTTTAATGTTTAAAACGGGGCTGTCGCTCCGTGCGTTCAAAACTATAGCGATTGTCCTCAATCAAAAGAAATCCAGTCCATTGTTTACGCCCGACTGTAATAAGCATGTGATTATGAATCATTATGTAACCGTGACAATACCAGGTGTTCGCGTAAAGAGAGAGAGAAAGAATAATGTTTATTATAGTGTCACATGTTATATACACTTCATACTAAAACACGTACACGAACAATACAATATAACATCCGACCAGGTATGGCCTACGAGACACTTAGACATAAAAGCAAATTATAACGTCATGATCTGGATAAGGTAAAATAAGACATATACTAACACAATGTTTAAAGTTAAGGTTTGGTTATGAACACGCACGCTCGCACACACACACGCACACACACGCACACGCACACACACACGCCAAATTAATTATAAAGTAACGCACGCAATCATACACAAACACGTAGATACCCATTCACCCACCCCACCCCACCCCACCCCACCCCACCCACACCATACCACACGCACGCACGCACACGCACACACACACACACACACACACACACGCACGCACACACATACACCACACACAAACAAACAAACGCACGCACACACACATATCATACGTACATTTTACCACACACACGCACACACACACCATACGTACATTATCAATCACACACACACACACACACACACACACACACACACACACACACACACACACACACACACACACACACACACACACACAGCACACACACAGCACACACATACACATACACACACACAGCACAGAGGTGCATTTATCCTCACCGACACTTAACATAAACATTTCAAGTATAACATTGATCACAAGTAGAAATACTACTATTCGCAAGCATAATGACATACATGCAGAAAAGCGCACACAAAATCAAATGAGTGACGTAAAGGTGACCGTACCCTGCCCCACCGGTGGCTTTGGAATACATGTATCTAGACAAGGTGATGGCTGAGTAACTGTTTAGACAGAAATATGCCACAACGATTGAGATTCCGTTACAGGGGTCAAGTCGGGGTTACTCTCTGCCATAATAATGCATTTTGTAGCATAACATGATATGAATTTTAGTTACAGAATACAGTAAACTACGGTTATAACGAACTCAAAGGGACTACTATTTTTAGTTCGTTATAACCGTAGTTCGTTATAAGCATATATACAGCATAACCACAGCAAATAGTCGGGACTAAAAAGTAAGTTCGTTATATCCGACAGTTCGTTATAAGCGTGTTCGTTATAACCGTAGTTTACTGTATGTATACATACAGGGTTCACTATACAGTAAACTACGGTTATAACGAACTCAAAGGGACTACTATTTTTAGTTCGTTATAACCGTAGTTCGTTATAAGCATATATACAGCATAAGCACAGCAAATGGTCGGGACTAAAAGTAAGTTCGTTATATCCGTCAAGTCGTTATAAGCGTGTTCGTTATAAACGTAGTTTACTGTATTTCATCTGTCAGAATGTTTGATTGTGTATGGTGCAGTACACGTAACGGGAACATGGTAGTTCGCATTAATTCTTCCGTCCGGGCGAAACAACTGCGAACTAGCTAGTCCAAGGAACAACAACCAAGTTCCTGTAAGTTCAACCCATCATTTCATAGTGACAAAAGTCCAATAAAGTTCTTAAAAAACAAAATCTAGCTTTCTTGGTTAAAAAGGTAAATTCTCCAAAATAGATAGAAAATGCCATTTCCTGTAAGTGTTCTCTATGAAATAATGAAAGAAGACAACGGACACCTACGTAGCTTGAAAAAATGTCCGGATTACTGGATAACCGGGAATGTGAATATGAGTGAGTGAGTTGGGTTTAACGCCCCTTTTAACAGTATTACAGTTATATCACGGCGTGTCATCTTAATAGGGGAGGAAAACCCGAAGTGATGCAGGTCTCAGACGTTTATCACTTCGGTGTAACCCACGAGCATGGGTATGGTGCTGACAAACCTAGAAACATTAGCGGGGCGAACCGGGATTCGAACCCACAATCATAGGTTTCTGGCGTGCCCAAGTAACGCAACTCTGCATACGAATCGCGGCGCCTTAGACGACTGGGCCATCCGTGCCCCCGAATGTGAATATGAGGTGTGTGTGTGTGTGTGTGTGTGTGTGTGTGTGTGTGTGTGTGTGTGTGTGTGTGTGTGTGTGTGTGTGTGTGTGTGTGTGTGTGTGTGTGTGTGTGTGTGTGTGTGTGTCTAGTGGCGATGAAAGGGATAAAGATCGCGTTATATTTGACAGCGGCGAAGATGGAAGTGTAAGGGATGTCGCCTAAATAAACGTTGTATGCCTGCCGTCCAGTAGCGTGAACTTCTAGATGTCACTATGACGTTGCCACGACGAGATAGAGGAACGCGGACTTTTGAAAGATCGCGGCCTTGTGCGTGTTTGATGAATCCAACGTGCCAGCCACTGGGCAGGCCATGTTTCACTGAAAGACGATGACGTATAACTTCGGCCACAATCGGCCTTGTGCTTGTATGATGAATCAGGATTTGTAACCCACGTGGCAGCCATGTTTTACAGTGAAACGAGGACATAGATCTCCCGACAAGATGACCGCATAGAGTATGTTAAGCAACAGTGTACCGTCCAGCGCTTTGCTCCCCAAGCAATGTTACACTTTTTGGTTTTGGTTTGGTTTGGTTTGTTGTTTTACGCCGCACTCGGCAATATTCCAGCTATATGACGGCGGTCTGTATATAATCGAGTCTGGACCAGACAATCCAGTGATTTACATCATGAACATCGATCCACGCAATTCGAATCGATGACATGCATCAACCAAGTCAGCGAGCCTGACCACCCGATCCCGTAAGTCGCCTTTTACGACAAGCATAGTCGCCTTTTACGGAAAGCATGGGTTGCTTATGACCTATTCTACCCCGGATCTTCACGGGTCTACACTTTTTGGTCACTCAAGGGGTGTTAAGTGGCCAGAAATACAACAGGCATCAACAAAGTTCCCTCACACAGTTAATATTTTATGTTGTTTGCTTGTTATTTAACGCCGCAATATGGCAGCAATATGACGGCGGTCTGTAAATGATCGAGTCTGGACCTGACAATCCAGTGATTGACATCATGTGCATCGATCTACACAGTTTGGATACGATGACATGCATCAACCAAGTCAGCGAGCCTAAACCACCCGATCCCGTAGTCGCCTCTTAGACAAGCACAGTCGTTTCTTACGACAAGCATGGTTGCTTAAGACCAATGCTGACCCGGATCGTCACAGGTACGTCAATATTAATAACATTCCCAGATGAAACAGTCATCTCAGTTGAAGGTAGTGCGTGCTTACACGTGTAAGTATACAAAATGCGTTGACGAGTTTTTGTTTCATTGAAGTATTCCTTTCACCTTCAAATCTAGTGGGGGCATCCCGGTTCGCCCCGATTATGTTTCTAAGTTTGTCAGCACAATACCCGTGCTCGTGGGTTTCACCGAAGTGGTAAACGTCTGAGACCTGCATCACTTCGGGTTTTCCTACCACATTAAGCTTACACGCCGTGATATGACTGGAATACTGTTAAAAGCGGCGTTAAACCCAACTCACTCACTCACTCAAATCTAGTATTACTATTACATGTAAACAAAATTGTTCTGCTCTTTGCTGCAGTACTCAATTTGAAGTCTTGACATATGTTCCCAGATACTAAGTATACACACTTTTAAATTGCGTTTAGACATTATGTAACACGTCAACGACAGAAAATAACCATCCTCAATTATCTGCCGAATCTGAATCCTCTAGGCGTAAAAAGCAAACTAGTAGTTATATTATATGAATTAATCTCAGTAATGACACCACGTGTAACATAAACCATACCTTATTGTCATTTGAACACAAACGTTTGGCTGGTGTATAATGATGAGACTAACTTGTATTATGCAGCTATGCCAACACCATACCAAAGTTCAAAGAAAGCTACAAAACCTTAAATGTTAACCTTGACTTCCACTAGTTGGTTATTAACTGTTCAGTACATCGACGTGGAGACATAATGACGTTTCAATGCTCAATCAAAACATCAAAAGCATTTGAATGACATTTGTAACATTTTCACGATGTCTAGTGTGTTTTCAGAGGCGCTTTGTATGCACTACATTGTAATATACACATAGGGTAATATATTGAGTTGAGACCTACCGTTGAGGCTGCGATCGTGGGTTATATTCAACACACAGAGTGAAGTAGCGAATCCTCTGACGGCAATGTTCAACACACGTCCGGAGGTTTCAGCGGACTGGTCGCTATGGGAGCACACCTACGTCAATGGTATGGTCCGAGAGCGTGCATAGCTGTAGGTGTAATGTGTTAGTCGGAATGGATGGTCGGTTTCATCAAGCCTTTCAATGACGATGTCCCCGCGCTATCCGTGGGACGTTTTGAGTCATGGTTCGTGAACACCAAACCCAGGCGACACCGGCCTTTAGAAAGGTTCAATGGTACTCATAAATTATTCATTTCGTCATAGAAATGCTATAATTTTTGAGGCCTTGGTACACGAATTATTGCGAGCATTCTTGCATGACACTGAAAACGTCCTTCAGTCCGAATGGGTGAACATACAGAATAGAGTCAATGAGGTTTAAATTTTAATGGATTATCTGTCATGAGTGAATAACTTGCGCAAATGTCAGCATCACTCCATTGGGTTAAGGATAGAACATATCATACCTCATGTTCGTTTGTGTACCTTTCTGCACTAAATGACAAAAACATTAATTTCTAACACTCGCAAATTCATATGAGCCGCCATCTTGCTTTGTCTGTGACATGACGGCATCGACTGTGATGCCATGTCGAACATGGATTTGCTGCCACTAACCATTGTCGTGTAGTATGCTCATAATAATGTTGGTGATTATCCCGTTTCCAGTGCATAAGATAACGCATTGTCCGGATTTTTCTATAACTACCAGGATATGTCCGCCGCAGAAGACATGCGCAGTGGCTTTGTATTTTAACGCGGGAACTGAATGAAACATGCGTGATATGAGAAATTAAAATATAACCTGTGCCATCATGCATGTACATGTGAGGTGAGGTGAGGTGAAATGGGGTTTAACGTCGCGTCCAAGATTATTGCACTTATATAGCGACGTGCATGCATGTGTATGTGTGTGTTTGTGTTGCTGCTTGTACTAGTCCGGACTGATGCCGATTTATAGTGCTAGCTCACTGAGATACCATGCCGCAGTTTAACATGAATATCCCTCTCAAACACAGTATACTGAATCCGAGCCGACCTTGTTTTAGCCCCTTAATGCAAGGGTAAAGACAGGGTAACAACAATTACCATCTTTTAACGTCTTTTGGTATGACGCGGCCGGGGATCGAGCCCCGGACCCTCCGCTCTCCGGGCGGACGTTCTACCAATAGACCACGGAGGCGGTCGTATGTACATGTAGTAACCTGGCTTGCACGAATGACCCGACGCATGCGATGTTCTGTTGATCTTAGAACTAAAGAAATATTGAAGATGACCATATCCATAGAACTTAATAGCCTGCACCTGATGAGATTCATAAATCCATCTTGAACTAGAGTGAGTTACAATATTACACCTGTGATCAGAGCCTCTCGAATGTCACCGCCTCCGTGGTCTTGTGGTAGAGCGTCCGCCCGGAGAGCGGAAGGTCCAGGGTTCGATCCCGGGCCGCGTCATACAAAAAGACGTTAAAAGATTGTACTTGTTGTTGCCCTGTCTGGCGCTCGGCATTAAGGGGCTAAAACAAGGACTGGTCGGCTCGGAGTCAGTATACTGTGTCTGAGTGGGGTATTCATGTTAAACTGCGGCATGGTATCTCAGTGAGCTAGCACTATAAATCGGCATCAGTCCGGACTAGTACAAGCAGTCACACACACACATATGTATAAGTGCAATAATCTTGGACGCGACGTTAAACCCAATTTCACCTCACCTCACCTCTCGAATGTCATGGGTATTCGGTAAGCGTCAGTCCAATAATTACATGTATACTCCTTGACTGAAACATGGCAACATATTCGGGAGTTACTGCATACTAGTAACTTTTAAATTTTAAATTATCAATTATATATATAAATCTACTTCAGTGTGAAACACTGAGATTTCTTAAAGTAAAAAAGGTGATATTGTGATTACAGTTAGCAAAACACTTGATGCTTTACTGACATAAACGTAACACTTTTATGTTACTATTTTCTTGCAAGAGTTACCTCCCCGTTTGCTGCCAGAAAACAACATGAACATGGGACAACCTACATAAACGGTTGACTCACCATGACGTTATTCCCCCATTGACAAGACAGATGTTCATTTACGAGGTTAATATCGGTTTTTACTGTTTGTTTTCTTGAAACTGTTTCGTTACAAATTTTAATTGTGACATTTAACTCGTCAATCGAGACTGTTCCTGATACAAAACGGTATATTTGTTAATTGACCAGCACATATTTATTTGCTTCCAAAATCCGTTTTGTTGAACTTGAGTGTCGTATTTAATCATATCCAAACATCTGATAAAGAATATTTTTACCTCTTGATCAAATCGTTTTTGTTATTGTTGTTTATATTTTTGAAGATTTAGCAAACACGGAACTAGATTTGAAGTGCAGAGAAACGTCCTTGCCTGTTTGGTAGGGAAAATTTACGTTTCAAGATATTACATTCTGAATTTCTGAAGCATTGTTTGCAAACAATAGCCGATAATCCCAAGTTCATTCGCCTCTGCCCGCCTTATTCACCGCTAGAGACGTTTCTGCTCCAGCGACCACACGGTGGGAGTAGGTTCATTAGCTCCCGGTGTCCTGTGCCCACATTCCCTCCATACAGAGTCACCCACCTTGCCTAATCCAGCCAGACCAGGATTTAGATAGCGAGCATGATAGATAGATATTCTTTATTTCCTCCAGATATTGAAGATACATATCATATATGATATTATGTATAATTACAGAGCTGTACAGTAGTACAATTTAACAATATTATGAGAAATGATAATTACAAAATGCATGACAATCAAGCATTCCTATAACTGTTTTGTAACAGATACAGCCATTTCCTACAGTATCTTGACACAATAACCATAAGGTCACCCCATAGACTTCGAGATAAAGAGCTAACACACTCAGGCATACCGCCAAGTAGTACAGACAGGATTATATCATCGTCCTCACTACATAGTCTTGCAAATGTCGAGACATCTATCACATCACAAGTGATTTCAAATAGTTCATTTCTGTCACTCATATTCAATGTACAATACAAAAAGACATGCTTAATAATATCATGAGCTACAATTCTACATCGACATTCCCTAGATTCTATATTTAGGCATCCTAGCCGTACAAGATGAGACAGGTTTGGGAACTGTTCAGGACGTTCAAGTGCAAGCAGCCAGAGTCTGTGTTCTTTATCATTACGTAGCGAAACATATCTATTTAAGTTAAGTCTAGATAACAGCTTAGAGCATACATGTACAGCTTCCTGCACTGCAAAAATAATCCTTTCCTTAACAATATCAGTCCATGCCTTTTTACTTGGGAGGCTACATTTAATTAGATAATCTTCTATTTCTGCATAGAGATTGTATATTTTGACAAGTCTAAACATGTTATATACAGGTGACAAAGCACATCGTTTTCTGAAGTTATCCAACGCTATTTCGTATCTAAACTGCCCAAGGCGAGTAATGAATACCTTTTTAAAAACATAGCTGTAACTGGAGCCGCATAGTTTTCCAAGTAGTAACAGTGACTGTTTGTCAATAAAGGATTGGAGAGATATCAAGCCCATGTTGTCCACAGCAACAGTACCTGATGTACATTTTGGAAAGCCCTGTATTTTTCTACTGAAATAACGTTGAATAACTTCCAGCATATCGTATTCTTTGAGGGTTAATAGTCCCCAGACATTACATCCATAGAGCCCGCATGGGAGTATCACTCGTTCCCAGATCCTTTTTGCTGGGATTGGATTCATGCCTCCAAACTTTAGTCCAGTATCATTATTACTATTGATTAACATTTTTAACTTTTCACAAACTAATTGTGTTCGTTCTAAGGAAGACTTATCAGAGCTAATCCTGACACCTGCATATATTATAGATTGCTGAAGTGGAACACACATACTGCCCAAGGACAGGGATTGAGAGCAGGTAAATTTACGCTGCACATCAAATATTAGAACAGCGCTTATCGTGACATTGTACTTAAGCTGCCATTTATATTCATTCTGATTTACAACATTGAGAAGATCTTGAGGGCCTGTTGGTGAGCTCCGCAACGTTAAAGTTTATCAAAAAAGAATAACTCATGATCAATCATTGTGTTTATGGACTAGCCATCTATAAGTTTAATAAATTGTGTTGTTCATGTACCACCACTGGTGGTCACCGTGCTAGTGAGGTGAGGTGAAATTGGGTTTAACGTCGCGTCCAAGATTATTGCACTTATATAGCGACGTGCATGCACGTGTATGTGTGTGTGTGGCTGCTTGTACTAGTCCGGACTGATGCCGATTTATAGTGCTAGCTCACTGAGATACCATGCCGCAGTTTAACATGAATACCCTACTCAGACACAGTATACTGACTCCGAGCCGACCAGTCCTTGTTTTAGCCCCTTAATGCCGAGCGCCAGACAGGGCAACAACAAGTACAATCTTTTAACGTCTTTTTGTATGACGCGGCCCGGGATCGAACCCTGGACCTTCCGCTCTCCGGGCGGACGCTCTACCACTAGACCACGGAGGCGGTCTCACCGTGCTAGTGTGAATACAATGTTGTTGTACTTTGTTGTGGCATTGCAGTTCTGGAAGCGCTTCTTTCCGTCTGAACTGAACTTTTATTTATACTCTGGCCGCTGTCAGTGGCATCAGAGGTACAAAATGATTTTACCAACATAATCCATATGAATATAAATATAGAATAGATACAAAAACATCGTTTGCCGAGCATGCATGTATATTTATACAAATTCACTAGGGTAGCAATATATGTGCAATTCAATAAGAGGGAGAGTTACTTGATAGGTTAAAACAATGACTTGATTATTTCCCAATCTTGAAAATGCATGTTAATTTCGTACGACCTAGGGATTTATATTGTAATATAGGCTTTCATAACCACTGGATTCTAATCTAATCAATCTGGAAATTGGTATTTTGTAACTCATCCGTATGAAAAACACACGAGCTTTCACTTCAGTTTTCCTCTTATAAAAATATTACCGAGCCCAGTTAATACGTGGCGCTTGAGTTGTCACCTCCACTGTGTGGAGCCCTCTTGTTTTGGCTTGAGAATTGAATGGGACAGGAACTAAAAGTGAGACCTC